TATTGTCCCAATTTTGAAACCGGACAAAGATCCAGCTAAATTGACGAATTATCGTCCAATATCTCTCCTTAATGGAGACGTAAAAATCTATGCCTCAATTTTAGCAGATCGCTTAAAAACTTGTATTCCCGCTTTGATTCATCAAGTTCAAGCAGGATTTATACCCGGTAGAGCAGCCTCTGGAGGTCTAAGAAGGATACTGAATGTTCATGATGCTGCGATAAAGAAGAATGTCTCCCGTCTGACCCTGTCATTGGATGCTGAGAAAGCATTTGACAGGGTCAGATGGGACTTTTTGGGGAATGCACTTAAGTCGTACGGTATTGTGGGAGCAGTTTACAATGCTATTATGGCATTATACACTATGCCCTCTGCTAGGACCATAGGACCAGGAATAGAGGCAGATTGGTTTAATATTAAGAATGGTACTAGGCAGGGCTGCCCTCTGTCTCCGTTACTCTATGTTTTAACCATAGAACCTCTGGCAGAAGACATTAGGATAAATGAGAAGATTAAGGGATTCAGGCTCAATAATGTAGAACATAAGATCAATCTATATGCAGATGACGTCATGCTTATGATCCAGAATCCTAGATCTTCGCTACCGGAATTGATAAAAATATTGGCCCAATATAGTGAATACTCAAATTATAAATTAAACACTAACAAGACTACAATAATGACAACCAATTTATCTAATGAAGAAAAGTATTTTATTAAAATGTCTTATGACTTTGTCTGGGTGAAGGATAATACTACCTTTCTAGGTATTAAAATTCCTAGGAATATAAAAAAAATAATAGAGGTTAACTTTCTTCCACTTATTAAATTTACAAATAAGATCTTAAAAGAATGGGTTAGTAGAGAGATTTCCTGGATAGGGCGTATAAACACCATTCGCTCATATATTTTGCCTAAATGGAATTATCTTTTCAGAATGATACCTATACAAGTTCCAACTCCATGGTTAAAAATGATACAATCAGCTTTTTCCAAATTTATTTGGAAAGGGAAAAAACCGAGGATAAGTTTACAGCTATTATCTAAGAAAAGAAAAGATGGGGGACTTGCTGCCCCTAATATAATAGAATATCATAATGCCTGTATGCTGGCACATGCCGCTAACACCTTGAGTAGTGATCAAAAAGATCAAGCATGGTATCAAATCGAGCAATCTTTGGTAGAGACAAATAATTTACCAGCTTTATTCTGGACAACAAGGAAGCAGAATAACTTAGTACACCCAGAAAATTCTATTATTATAGATAACATTCTTAGATATTGGTATAAAATTAAGAAGAAACAAGAAACTTAAAATAGAATATAGACTGTTTCCTTTTTTGCCCTTAGAGGTAATTAAGGGGAACATTGAGGATATTAATATCAGGGGATGGATACAAATGGGGTATTATGAATATACAAGAAATTATAGACAGCAAGGAAATTAAGTCATTTAATCAGATACAATCAGATTTTGGGATTGATAATAAGGAGATATTTACATATTTAAGAATCAAGTTTTATTTGGCGAAATATATGGATTTCCAGCTTAATAAAAATATCACTTATTTAAAAAAGATTCTGGAAACTCACGGAGCCAAAGGTCACATCTCTAGATGCTATGAGTTTCTGGGGGATTTTCAGAAGTCTTTTATCTGGAAATCCAAAATAATGTGGGAAAAAGATCTACATACGGTAATCCCTGAGCAAGATATGATAGGTGCGATTGTCAAGGTTAATAAATCGGTACACTGCTTGAATATAGTGGAGAATTTTTATAAACTTATGAATAGATGGTATATGGTTCCTGAAAAGCTGGCTAAATTGTATAAAGATCAGAATCATCTCTGTTGGCGTTGTGATGTGGGGAAAGGAGATTATCTCCATATATGGTGGTACTGTAAATCTTTGGGTAAAATATGGGAGTTTATATACCAACAGATTTACAGTGTATGCCAGATATACATACCTTTCACACCCCAAAGTTTTCTGTTACATCAGGGATGGCCCTCTATGTCTACTGAGAAACGGATGCTGATAATACATATTTTGATGGCAACTAAGATAGTTCTAGCCAGATATTGGAAAAGTAATAAAGTTCCAGATAGAATTGAAATTAGAAAACAAGCAATATATCAATGTAAAATGGAAAGTGGAATAATCCAAGGAAATTCTGTCGGTTTGAGAAAATTTTGTACTTGGGAAAAACTGGTGGATAAGTTTATTGCTAGTAATTAGAGCTAATAATATAGTAGGTTGGTGTGGCCCCCATAGTGTGTCTGATCCTGGAGGGACATTAGTAAAAATGCATTTATTAATTTGGGAAATTAACAAGGGGATGATAAAATTCTAGTCCCACGGGATGCAATGTGTGATAAGTATGAATCTTGGGTTTTAACGTTTCCTCTATTTTGATATCCATGTTTTCTATAGATATGACTATTTTGTACTGAGATACCCTGGTAATGCCATAGAAGGATACTTGCGGATAACAGTATGTAAGAAATTTATATGCATTGATTGAATTAATGGTTTTCTCTTATTAACTCTTGTATTCTGTTTTAATTGAAAACATTCTAGGCTTAATTTTTTGAAATGTCGATAGAGGAACTGTATGCATGTTTATGTAATTTTTATATGGAAAAAAAATTTATTTTTGAAGAAATAAAAAGATATAATAACAATGAGGGGGGCCTACTGTCCTCCCCAACGGCCCCCACCCCCGTGTGGCGTGTGGGGGCCCTACATAATAATGAGGGGGGGACCTACTGTCCTCCCCTCTGCCCCCACCCCTGAGTGGTGGGTAGGGGCCCTAAATAACAATGAGGGGGGCCTACTGTCCTCCCAAACGGCCCCCACCCCCGTGTGGTGTGTGGGGGCCCTACATAACAATGAAGGGGGGACCTACTGTCCTCCCCTCTGCCCCCACCCCTGAGTGGTGGGTGGGGGCCCTAAATAAGAATGAGAGGGGGAACTACTGTCCTCCCTCCAAGCCCCCACCCCTGAGCAGCGCATGGGGGCCCTAAATAAAAATCCCCCCCACCTTCCAAGGTGACTAGGGTTCCCCAAGCCCCTAGTCACCCCCGACCCAAATAAAAGTTATCCCCTACCTACCCCCCCTCACCCTATAAATAGCGATGGGGGAATAAAATAACTAACCTGTAAATAAAAATAAAACTTACCATTTGATGTCTTCTTTCTTCTAAAATCTTAATTTTTCAGCCCCAAAAAAGGCTAAATAAAAACCATAATACAGTCGAACTTAAACTTAGTAAAATAAAAAATCCGAGCGCAAAAAAAAAAGACCTGCCGAAAAAGGAAAAAACCTGACGCTAAAAAAAATAATCCATCTTCACCCATGGAGGGCTCCACGCAGACTGAGTTCTGCAGTATAAAGCCTTCCCCTGCCCTGCAATTAGGCTAAGAACACTCTGACTGGTTGGTTTAAGCCAATCACAGTGCTCTTTGACATTTTACACAGTTGGGAAAGTTCTTTGGAATTTTCCCACGCTGTGTAAAATGATACAGAGCACTCTGATGGGATGGATTTCAAGCCCACCAATCAGAGTGTTATGAGTCAAAAGGAAAAAAAACCTGACACCATTACTACTGAATGGCGCTCAGATCACATACATAAAGTTCAATCGCCATGGAGCCAAAGTCTTTCATACAGTCTTTCAGTATACTGCTGGGCTCCATGGCATAGCTATCTGGGGTAGCATGGTTTAAACAGTAAAGTACCGAATGGACCGGTGTTCGGATAATTGACTGCAGGTAGGAGAAGGGAGGTCGGCGGATCAGCGGTGTTCGTGATTTTAACAGTCCGCAGAAAGGCACGAACCAGCCTTTCTGCAGGGAAAAAGAACAGTGTTAAACATGGGGCCATAGTCCAGTGGCAGGAGGCGGGCAATCAGGCTCCTCCAGTGGCGAGGTTGGTTCCGCCACATCCCCCCTCATTGTTATGTAGGACCCCCAGCCGCCGTGCAGGGGTGGGGGCCGGGGGGGAGGACAGTAGGTCCCCCCCTCAATCTTATTTAGGGCCCCCACCCATCGCTCAGGGGTGGGGGCCGGGGAGAGGACAGTAGGGTCCTCCCCTCATTATTATTTAAGGCCCCCACCCACCGCTCAGGGGTGGGGACCGGGGGGAGTAAAGTAGGTCCCCCCTCATTGTTATGTAGGGCCCCCACCCGCCGCGCAGGGGTGGGGTCCGGAGGGAGGACAGTAGTTCCCCCCGTCATTGTTATTTAGGGCCCCCACCCACCGTACATGGGTGGGGGCCGGGTGGGAGGACAGCAGGTCTGCCCCATCATTCTTATTTAGGGCCCCCACCCGCCGCTCAGGGGTGGGGGCCGGGGGGGAGGACAGTAGGTCCCACCCCCCTCATTGTTATTTAGGGCCCCTACCCGCCGCTCAGGGGTGGGGGCTGGGGTGGGAGGACAATAGGTTCCTCCCCTTATTTTACTTGAGGGCCCCCATCCGCCGTTCAGGGGTGGGGGCCAATAGGTTTTTTTTGTTTGTTTTTTACAGTGAGCAGCCAGTGGCTTAGTGGTTTACTAGATGGCATTTGGTGCATTGAATCATGTATATCCCATTGCTGTAGGTTTTTTTTATTTGTGAGTGCTACACTGGGAAAACCACCCAGCCATTAAATGGCAGAATGAATATGCACAGACACTCTGTTAAACACCACAAAGAAGAATCCTACTGCACTCCTGTGGGACTCCACTTTACCCAGCCTGGCCACTCACTGAAGGACCTAAAAATCAAAGTACTGAAAGGGAGTTTTAAAAATACCCAAGAAAGAAAAACTTTTGAAGCCAGAATGATTAAATGATTTAACAGCAAGAATAGAGGACTAAATAATGATTTGGGTTTCCTGTCTCACTACCAACACTTTACATGAACACTTCACCAGTAGAGATGTCGCAAACCGTCCGCGAACTTCTCGCAAACGGTTCGCCGCGGTTCGCCACAAGCTGTTCGCGGCGAACTCCGGTCAGCTGACACGTCCCGGCCAATCTCCAGCAGACCCTCCCTCCCAGACCCTCCTACTTCCTGGACAGCATCCATGTAAAGTGTTCATGTAAAGGATTTCAACATGGATGCTGTCCAGGAAGTAGGAGGGTCTGGGAGGGAGGGTCTGCTGGAGATTGGCCGGGACGTGTCAGCTGACCGGAGTTCGCCGCGAACAGCTCCGTTCCGAAAGCTTGTCATTAAAACATTCCGTTAGTTCAATAAAAAAGGTATTACAAGATACAAATTTTATCTGTTTTTTACAACAACATCACTGGACTAATATGGCCACAATCTCTACTATATATATATATATATTACATTTAAAAACCTACAAATGTGTGTGTGTTTTCTTTACACTTGGTAATTAGATTAGATTGTTTTAATCCCAATTTTTCCACCTTAGGTTTAATATTTTCATCTTTTTATTTTTGTCTAGGCGATTGGTCGATTTTTCAATTGTTATTTTTACTTACATAATTTCCTCTCTTTTTGGATATATTTCAATACTATTTTTTTTTTAAATAATCCTAATGTATGGGTTGATTTCTTATTTTAGGATTTTTTTTTCATTTTAGGATTTGTGTGATTCTTCCCCCCTCCCCCCTTTTGTGATTCATTCTATTTAATTTTTTTTCATTGTTATTTTCATATACTATTTTAGGTATACTTTTTGGAGCCTAAATTCACATTTTGTAAAAATTATTTTTTTGTTTTGATTTTTGTTTACTCAATCTTCCCCTATTTGTATTCATTTACATTTTTAGTACTCCTAGATAACCCCTTGTTTTGTCGTTTGAGAAAGCCCCAGGAGGGGCGGAACGCGTCACATGCCTGAATCAGGATATACAGAGTAAGCTCATACAGGAGATGAAAAATAATCCCTTAAAGCAGGTATATTGAAAGTGAGAACCCAAGTCTTGCACAGATACCAACTCTCAAAAACCAGCCAAGGTTTACCCATGCAGAACAACTCAATAGTAAGGATAAGAAGTTACAATTGTTAAAAAGTCTTTATTCAATGTTTTATGTTAGACACTTAATACTCATGTGTGAACCAAAAGAAAACAGTGATACAAATATATGTGCAAGTGCTTTAAAAAGGAGGGGGGGGGGGGGACAGGTATATCAAGCCTGCCTGATATGTCCTAAATATAGCTTAAAGGACCACTCTAGGCACCCAGACCACTTCAGCTTAATGAAGTGGTCTGGGTGCCAGGTCCAGCTAGGATTAACCCATTCTTTTATAAACATAGCAGTTTCAGAGAAACTGCTATGTTTATGAATGGGTTAAGCCTTCCCCCAAAGCCTCTAGCGGCTGTCTCATTGACACCCGCTAGTGGCGCTTGCGTGCTTCTCACTGTGATTTTCACAGTGAGAGCACGCCAGTGTCCATAGGAAAGCATTGTGCGCATTCAGCCGACGGGGTGAATCGGAGGCGGAGAGGAGGAGGAGAGCTCCCCGCCCAGCACTGGAAAAAGGTAAGTTTTTACCCCTTTCCCCCTTCCAGAGCCGGGCACTATAGTGGTCCTTTAAAGCAAGTATCCAAATTATAAAGCAGCTGCTCCTGTAGCTATTCAGGTGCACAGAGTTAAATAAATTTGTATTTTAGATACAATTGTAGCTGTTAGGGCAATTTGTAGCAACAGTAATCAGATCACTATATACACATGATCTAGAGATATCTATGATAGAACTATAGCTAAAGTAGGTATAGCAATAGTAATGGATGGCTTCACAAAAGTACAGTGTTTGGGGTGGTAGAGGGGAGTTCTTAGCTGAAAGAGAGAGTAAATGGATGGCTTCAAAAAAGTTCTTAATGAGTATAATAGCTGAAAGAGAGTAAAAATCAATTAAGGAGCAAATATTGGTAGATTGCCCATCCCTACTCAATCAGAAAAAAGGCTTGGGAGATGAAAATTACTGATCTCCCCCTTTGTTAATGCTTAATTGTATATTATTACTTAAATGCATAGCAGAGTAACTGGGAGTAGCAAGCAAACCCAGAGTGGGTAGAGAGGAGGTATATTCCCGACCAGGGCAAAAGAATTGCGGTTTCCCAAGTAAGATACTTTTAAGCTGTACGGGTATAAAATTCAGAAAAAAAGGTATAAAAGACAATTATCCCCCCACCAGGCCAAAACGTGCGTCGAACGAAGACGCTGCATTTAGACTATTTTATTTATCACAGGGGTCTCTATGGAGCCTTACTAACAACACCTTAGATCTTTTTTGTTAACAGCCATTTTGTTGTAGCATAAGCCTAGGCAACTAGTGATATTAGGGTACCTTGGCAATTTACGTATCAGGCAGTGTGGGGTGGATATTATAGCACAGTGTTCAGGTATCTTACTGGGAAACCGCATCTTTTCAGTCCTGGTGGGGGGATAATTGTCTTTTATACCCATTTAGGCATTTTTGCCATTTCCAGATACCCTGTTGCACATTTGAGCTACATTGGAGATCTAAATCCCGAAGAAGGATGGGCATAGTTACTAACCCTTATCTACCATACCCTGTTTCGAATAATTTTCTGAATTTTATACCTGTACAGCTTCAAAGTATCTTCCTTGGGAAACCGCAATTATTTTGCCCTGGTGGTGAATATTCCTCCTCTCTACCCACTCTGGGTTTGCTTGCTACTCCCAGTTACTCTGCTATGCATTTAAGTAATAATATACAATTAAGAGTTACAGGGGGAAATTGGTAATTTTCATCTCCCAAACCTTTTTTCTGATTGAGAAGGAAGGGGCAATCTACAAATATTTACTCCTTAATTGATTTTTACTCTCTCTTTCAGCTATTATACTCATTAAGAACTCCCCTCTACCACCCCAAACACTGTACTTTTTTGAAGCCATCCATTACTATCTTTATACGTACTTTAGCTATATTTCTATCATAGATATCTATAGATCATGTGTATATATTGACTGATACAAATTGCCCTAACAGCTACAATTGTATCTAAAATACAAAGTTATTTAACTTTGTGCACTTGAATAGCTCCAGGAGCAGTTAATTTGGGTACTTGCTTAGCAGCTAAATTTAGGACGTATCAGGCAGGCTTGATAGCCTTTTTAATTCCTTAAGGACACGGCTTCAGAAGCTTGTTTTACGCTTAAGGACACAAGCCATTTTTGCATTTTTTGCTGTTTGTGTTAAAATGCAATTTGAATTTTTGTCATTTATTGCACCAACACATATTATACATAGTTTTCTAGAGGGCAAACAGGGCTTTAATTTAATGACACATACACATAGATACATTCTCATTAATTATAAAAAGATGCAAAAAACACATTTGTTTCACAGTTTTAGCAATCATAGCGTGTGCATAATATGTCCAGCTTAGAAAAAGTAAATAAATAAATTCATTTATGTGTCTTGATTTATAGAGTACATCATATGTATAGGATTTCAGCATATTTTGAAAGTTACAGGTTACAAAATACAAGGACTAAAATAAAATTTCAATTTGCAACAATTTTAGAAGTTGGTATGTTTGTCTTGTAGGTTTAGTAGACATCACAGAAAAAAAATTTGCCACACAAAAGTATATATTTATATAAAGTAGACACCACAGGCTATTTACCTAAGGTTAGTTTGCCACTTTTTATGTAGCCATTTCATCGCCAATCTCTGCTAAATATTGGAGTAAAATTGTGTTTTTTATTTAGTTTGGCATATACACATATAACAAGGTTCTTGTAATGTGTATTTCGTAAAGCTGGTGTGCTATTCATGCACAGAACCCCATATTGTGTTCAGCTACATCTGATGAGTATAACGATTCCCCCATTGTATGCCTTTGGCCCTTTTCTGTAAAGCTACAATGCCATATGAGACAAGGCTAGATCAGTTTCTCTAGTTAGAATTTTCGTAGATGGATTTTAAAGGCCTATGTCTGATTTTAGGGTATTTTAGCAGTGTGACTGTTCAAATAACCCCACAAAGGGCTTTCATTTGATAAAGCAGACACCCCAGGGTATCTTATGTGATGTATATTGTGTCTTAATTTGTCACCATTTTTTCACCAATTTATGTCAATGTTTGTTGTGAGGGGGGAATAAATTGCATTTTTAAATATATGTTGCATTTTTTCTTACACTTAATATTTACCACTGTCATAAAAATCCCCAAATCATGCTCAGTTACATTTTCTGAGTAAAACAATATGCCCAATGTATGACCTAGACACTATTTTGTAAAGTTACAGTGCTATAAAAGAAACGTGACTAGTTTAGGTTTTTAAGTGTGAATTTTCATGGAGGGTTTTGATGCATCTGTGTCTTACTTTGGAGCACTTGAGCATAGCATTTCTTTAAAAAGACATCCCAGGGTATTCCAGAAGGCATATTATGAACCTTAGCGTGGGATAATTCTTCCGCTAGCTCGTACCAAGTGTAGTGGTAATAAGCATTTTCTCTGCCTTTCTGACATACAAAGTGAGTTTGCACAGTATATTTTGCAAATCGTATGTGTGCTACGACTGTATAATACTTCATGTGTTTCTCAGCTATGTCGTCTGAGTACAGCAATAACCCCGTATGTACCTTTGAAGTTTTACGCTGTGTCCATGTTCCATTTTGGAGTAGTTAGCTGGTTGGTGATTCAAACTTCCCCACAAACACATACTATTTAATGAATACACCCTGAGGTAATTCAAAAGGCATATTTTGAACCTTAGGGTGGGATAATTTTTTCTCTAGTTTGTTCCAGGTGTAATGAGCATTTTTAAATGTATTTTTTAACTTTGTAAAACTTTTTTTACTTTTTAAACTTTTTTTGCTTATTAATTTTTTAACCTTTCCTAAACTTTCTTAAAATGTTTTTTTACAGAGTTAACATTCTATAAACTTTTTTTACCGTTAACCCCTAACTAGCAGTAAGCAGCACTAACCATAAATCCCCCCAATTTCCCATAACTCCCACCCACCCCAGCTAGCAAAATATATCATTTTAAAATATTTCAATTAATTAAAGAACTTAAAAACCTGAGGGTTAAAAAAATATAAAAGTTAACCCTTAGGGGTTAACACAAAATTGGATCAGAGTATAAAACTGTAATCTGTATTTTGATCACTGTAGGTAGTGATCAACTGGCATGGAAGGGGATCATTTTTATTAGGACTGGGTAAAGGGGGTGGGATTTTTTTTACTTTAAAAAAAAAATGTTATTAAAAATTTTTTTTAAACTTTTTAAAAACTTTTTTCCCCTAGCTAGCCTAACACCAAATTCCCCACTAACTTCCACCCACCCCATCTAGCTAAATATATAATTTTAATATATTTAAATTAATTAATTAATAAAATAAAATTAACCCCTGAGGGTTACAAAAAATAAAAGTTTACCCTCAGGGGTTAAAAAAAAAAATCAGATCACCGTAAAATGTAGTCCCTGCCAATTAATCTCTGTTGTTAGTGATCAATTGGCAGGGAAGGGGTTGATTTTATTAAAGCAGGGGAAAAGGGGGGTGGGATTTAACTTTAACTTTTTTTTTTTTTTACACAGGGAGAAGATCAGCAGTGATCCGCCTCCCTGCACTTCCGCGGTCGGTGTGAAGTGCAGGGAGGCGGATTGTGAGTCCCTGCAGCACCTGTGCTCGCTCTTACAGCCTGTCAGAGCGATCACTGCTGCAGGGGCAGTGCGATCGGGCGCTCCCGGTGTGTATCTAATACAGAGGCAGAGCAGAGAAGTGTTAACCCCGTGATCCCCGCGATTGCGGTGATCTGGGGTTAATTTTACTGCAGCGTTAACTGCTTCCCCGCCATGACAGACCGGGAAGGGGTTAGTTACTTGCATATATTTTTGAATCACCGTTTTCTTTTGGTTCACACATTAGTATTAAGTGTCTAACATATAACAATGAATAAAGACGTTTTAACAATTGTAACTTCTTATTCTTACTATTGAGGTGTTTATCTTCTGTACGGGTAAACCTTTGGCTGGTTTTTGAGAGTTGGTATCTGAGCAAGACTTGGGTTCTCATTTTCAATATACCTGCTTTAAGGGATTTTTTTCTTTTCATAAACGATTTATGTGGGTTCCGCCCAATCTTTACCCATCTAGTTATACCCTTGACTTCAGGGTTAGTTTATTCCGACCTTTTAGTCATCCCTGCCAAGCTGAAAAGGGGAAAAGGAACACAGTATTATTTACCCGCATATCTCTAACAGATTTCACACAATACTGGAAGCTGGTGATCTGACCTGGGACACGGCTGCTCTGGGTTTTAAGCTTTGTTTTTGTTTTTTATTGTTTTGGAATAAAGTCTGTTTGAATGCAAAGTTACAAGTGTATCCATCGGATCCTGCGTAAACTAGGGGTTGATCCCCCTGAACATTATAGTCTGGAGTGGCACTGCAACCACTCTACACTTGTGAGTTTAAATACTGGGTTTCTCTTATGATATATATTATGTCCAGACAATATTGCACTAATTGTTCTGTTCATTTTCTTTAGCTTATACGTACTGTGAATTTCCCTATGCTTGCAAGTATTACCTTGTGTGTTTAGATTTTACCACAAAATCACTTCTATTTGGTTCTATTTAGTGTTTTAGACACTTATAACACACTTATTTACTAAATAGTGATCACTGGTTGTCACTATTTTTATTCATAAGAGATTGTATTGGAATATTTTGTATAACTTTTTTCAATATTTTTATATTATAATATTCTTTTAATTCTTAAATGTTGCGCACCAGTTTTATTCTTAATAGACTAGGAAGCGCCTCTAGTGGCAGTCTCAGTGATGCCCACTAGAGGTTTTACTAGGGAGCAATGTAAACACTGTGTTTTCACTGAAAAGGCAGTGTTTACAGTGAAAATCCTGCAGGGACAGGCTACAGACACTAGAAGCATTGCATTAAGCTGTAGTTATTCTGGTGGCTATAGTTTCACATTTAATAAATATTACTGATATTACTGGATGCCTGGCAGTCGTCTCCATCCTTCTCCTTATATAGGATCTACCTGTTACAGAATCCAACGCTCTCAAGGGACTGATCCTTCTAGGGCTGATTGTCTGAGTGGTACATAGCCATCATTGAGGGGAATTATGCTGTTTATGGGATTTTTTAGTACATACAATATTGCATTGGAAAAATATATATATATATATATATTTCTTTTATTATTATTATTATTATTTTTTTTTTTTTTTAAGAATTGACATATGTTGGGTACAAGTTTTTTACAAAATTCTCTTCTTTTGTGATTTATGCTGACATTTTTGTCCTGGATTCATAAACTCACAATTGTGTCTCTTTGTTATTACTTTAGATTGTCAGCTCACGGGCAGGGTCCTCTATCTGTTGTATCGGTCTGTTCAAATTGTGTTTTCCCAATTGTACAGCGCTGCAGAATATGTTGGTGATTTATAAAAGCTCGTAATAAATAAACAGTTTATTCTTCTCAATAAACACAACAATTGCTGAGCAATACAAGCAGCCAAGCATACAATATCAACTTACAACATTTGTGTTGTTTACTATTCTCACAATTATATCATGTGATCTCAGAGACTTATCTCAAGAGTTTATGTTAACATTTACACAGTGAGTTCAACCTTTCTTTCACCAGCTTGACTTCAGCAAGGACATGTTTCAAGAATGTGTTCAGGATATTTAGCCTTGAGATAAAAAAAATAATAATGACTAATAGGGAACAGATTAATGAATAAATAAACTTGCCTTGGAATGCACTGCATTGTGATTGGTTGGCCGTTAAAGTCAATGACATCGAAAATACATATAAGTGTGATTCCATATTATCTGGGTTTCCTGAGGTTGTATAGAGTCCTGGTTCTTGTCATAACCTGTTGAAAATACTTGGACGCTGTACAGTAGGATTAAACATTCCAGTTTAATCAAATCACTATTAACTATTTTAATGCTACCAACATGGCATAAGCTGCATTCAAAAAGAAAACTTGGAGGAAGCAATCTACCATATCAGACTTGGTGCCCCATAAGGAGCATATGTTAAGCCATGGATCAATAGAAAAGAAATACACCTGACCTTGCCTTGTAATATATAAATAGATTTCCCACAAAAATCAATTTCTTAATAAAGGACTTTCCTTAAAATTTTTTTGAAATGTTAATGTTTTTAAAGGACCACTATAGTGCCAGGAAAACATACTCGTTTTCCTGGCACTACAGTGCCCTGAGGGTGCCCCCACCCTCAGGGTCCCCCTCCCGCCCGGCTCTGGAAGGGGGAAAGGGGTAAAAACGTACCTTTTTCCAGCGCTGGGCGTGGAGCTCTCCTCCTCCTCTCCTCCCCGTCGGCTGAGTTTCTCTGAAACTGCTATGTTTATAAAAGAATGGGTTAATCCTAGCTGGACCTGGCACCCAGACCACTTCATTAAGCTGAAGTGGTCTGGGTGCCTAGAGTGGTCCTTTAAAGCATTGTGGAGGGGACAGGTTTTGACTAGCATGCTGGATGGTGCACAGCAAATGAGCTCCTCAGGGATTTTCAAGGATTTTCCTGAAGTCATCTGTAACCAGGTGGAAGCTTAAAGCTCTGATTCACCTGGAATTTCACCTCTCAGCAAACGTGTCTTCCTAGACAAAGAGCCATCAGGAGATTATACCCCTTACACCGCTCAGACCCGTGGAGGACTACTTGGAAGAGGTATGAGGCCAACGACTTAACACATCAACTTCACACTCTAGGGGAAAAGATTTTGCAATTTATCATGGCCGTGTACATGGTGAAGGTTCTTATTCAGGTCTAGAGCCAGTATGGTATGGTTCAGGGGCTCTGTTAATATTGCCAAACATTATATTGCCTTACCTACTAAAAGGATAGGTTAAATGTTCATTCCAGGAAGTTGATTGACATACTGTTTGGTTCTTTGTGTACATTTGTTTTATCCTTATGCCTGGTGCCTCAATTCTAATTCCTTTATTTAAACAGTTATATTTCCTTTTGAGACGAGAGGCCTCCATGTGGTTTATACATCTGTTTATACTTCACATTCTTGTTGAGTAACATTTATTTCATTGCATACTGCCCTCTCCCCTTTTCTCCCTCATTTGAGAATTTACCCCCATCTCTTCCCATCCACATTTCTCACACACGTGTACCTCCCTTTCATATCTGGGAGATTCACCATCACACAGAAATTCAATGTTGCCTTGCGGTGCTGTGTGAATGACATAGGAGACTTACTTAATGACAATGCAGGGATGTGAAGTTATACCCCTGCTTTGTTCCAGCCAGACAGCCTCTCACACACTGTCCAGGTGAAATTATGAGGCCAGTCTGTGCACCAGAAGATGAACAAAGACTATTCCCATCATGGCAGCAGCACCACTAGACCACCAGGTATTGGGGATGTAATTGACACTATGGAACAAGGGGCTGTTAATGGGACTACAGTGCTGTGGATGTTGCCCCCCTCCTCAAGAAAATAGTGCAGCGCCAAGGCGGCAGTCAGGCCCAGACTGGCCATTACAAACTGGGCAAATGCCCAGTGGGCCGCGATGGCCATGAGCCGAGGCCGACAGGAGAAGATTATAGATCTAGATCACCGGCCCAAAGGCATTTTGCTGTGGTGCAGTGGAGAGCGAGGAGAGAGGAGGATCCGGGAGGTTGCTGCGAGTTACCATGACAACGCTCCAAGGAGCTCGCAGGAAGATTGAACTATGCCTACCTCCATAAAAAAAAGAAAAGAAGGGATGTTTGTTGCTTTAAAAAAAAAAAAATAGTATTAAACAAATATGCATATTGGCATCTAACCTCCCCACACAATAGATAGGACCTATAACATCCAACGCAGTCACACAGACTGCACCCCTGACACATACGGGACCCCTCACAAAGACTGCACAGCCCACACACACACACATGGCACCTCCCACACACACTGCACCCCTCTCACATACCATGCACACACTCTGCACCCCCCCACACACACATGGCACCTCCCACACACTCTGCACCCCTCACACACACACGGCACCTCCCACACACACTGCACCCCTCTCACACACCATGCACACACTCTGCACTCCCCCCCCACACACACATGGCACCTACCACACACTCTGCACCCCCACACACACTACTCCCTTCATACACACTGCACCCCTCATGCACACTGCATCCCCTTTAGACACTTCATTCCTTATACAAACACTCTGAATCCCCTATAAACACGCTAGTCTAGATACCCTATGTGCACACTAAATCCCTTGTATGCAAAAATACACACTAAGTTCAATAAAAACACAAACTGTACAGTCCCTACACACACCACGTCACCTATACACACATACACTACAGCCTTTATATACACAGTCGCAGCACCTATACACACACACACACACACACACACACACACAGTACAGCATCTTTACAGCCCCTAGCCACAAACACACTCTACAGCCCTTAGCCACACATATTAAACCACAAACACAACTGAAACCGACCTATTTACACACAACACTACAATCAGCTCACTCTACATACACACAATGCCATAGGCCTCCAAACGCATGCACAGTCCTCTTTCCAGGCCCTTTTGTCTCCTAGTATCCCACTTGTGGAGACACCAGAGGCAAGTCACAAGCAAATGCAGCGCAAACATGTAATTATATCCACTTGCGCTGCTGAGTACGAATGCTGGGCCTTTTTCTCTGTGTTAGGCTGCCTTGGAAGAGCATTTATCCAACATGCTAACTTTGAGGGGGGCATGCTCGTCATGGTAATTACACAACAGCCCCCCTGTGGTCGCACCCCCTTCCCACTGGGCCGCTGTGATTACAAATGCCCAGGCCGATATTTTTCCCCAGTCTGGTGCTGGCAGAAGTGATAGAAGGACAATGAGGATTTCCGATAGTCCCTGGGAGTGCTGAAGCCCTGACAAGTAAATGCAGGGTAGGTGCCAGTCATGATAGCTATTGGTCTCTGTCTGACAACCATTACATACAAAAAGAGTCAGCGGCCAAATCAGGTACATTAGGCAGCTGGCACGGGCTTATGAAGGAAAAGCTTTGTGTGTGTAAAAGGCTGAGAGGCAGTGAGCAAGGAGGACAGTCACAGAACTGTCTGTGAAGGAACTTTGCCGTTTTCAACACAGTGTGCTCTCAAAGCACTTAAGCAGGGACTGGGGACTAGACTTACAGTGACAGGTCACAGTGTTTGTGTTACTTCCTCCCCTGGCAGGCTGCCATTGTACATTTAACAGCTTCAGCAGAGATTTCAACCAGGAGCAGGCACAGTGCACTTAAAAGAGTGGGTACCTCTATATATTACATTAATTTAACACTTGTGTGTGAGTGTTTGAGGATGAAATTGTGTCCGTGTGTGTGTGTTTCTGTGGGTGTAATTGTGTGTGTATATATATGTTTGTTTGTGTGTATTTTGTATTTGTGTGTGCGTGTGTGTTTCTGAGGGTGTATTTGCGCGCATGCGTGTGCGTGTGCGTGTGTATATATATATATATGTGGGTGTATTTTTTAGGATGGATTTACTTTTGTATTTGTGTGTGTGTGTGTGTGTGTTTCTGAGGGTGTAATCCTGTTTGTGTTACGGTGTAATTGTGTGTGCTTGAGAGTGCCTACCCATTACAGAGGCCCACAGCAATAAAACATACATACAGTAACATGAATTATTGATTTTTTCTTTGCCCGCACTACAATTAAATCATTTCACAGTGCCCCTCCTGAGACTGAGCTCTGGGTCCGCTTCTGGTTTCTGATGGAGTGAAACACGTCAGTGTCTAACATCAGGTTGTACTATCCAAGCTGCTGTGTCCAAGCCTGATGTTTTAATTATTTAATAAAGGTATTGTACATTGTTTGTAATGTTCTTTACTGATGGAAGTCAGCATATTTTGGTGAGTGTGGTGGATGTTTAATGTCAGGGGCAGACTCTCGGTGAACATGCTGTGCTCCAATACTGCATTTTACTTGAATAATTTTCTCTTTAGCTGCAATTACTGTTTTTTTTTCAGGCCGAGGTAGGTTTCTATATATATATTTTTGTGGTCAGACCCAACAGAAATAAAGCCTGCTTAAATCTTCGCATAAAAAAGGGATAATGCAGCAAATGTGAATGCCAATTATGTGGACATAGTATATTTATCTGCACTGCACAAACATGTCATTAAACTCGGTACTCTGTACAGTTTATAGCAGGGCCGGACTGGCCCACGGGGATACCGGGAAATGTCCTGGTGGGCCGTCAGCACCTGGAGCCAGGCAGGCAGATGGCTCTTCTTGTGGCCGCATGGGGGAGCCGGCTGTTCTGTCTCTGCTCCCCCTACCCAGCAAGCCGCTTAATGAGACCGGGGCCGGAATATGATGTAATATTCTGGCCCCGGTCTCATTAAGCGGCGCGCTGGGGCGGGGGAGCAGAGACAGAACAGCCAGCTCCCTCTGCGGCCGCCAGAAGAGCCAGCTCCCCCATGCGGCCGCCAGCACACAGGTAGCAATCATTTGTGTCAGTGTGAGTGTATGTCTGTGTCATTTGTGTGTGTGTCTGTCATGGTGTGTCTGTCTGTGTCATTGTGTGTGTGTGTGTGTGTCTGTGTCATGGTGTATGTGTCTGTGTCAGGGTGTGTGTCTCTGTCTGTCATGGTGTGTGCGTCTGTGTCATGGTGTGTGTCTGTCTATCTGTGTCATGGTGTGTGTGTGTGTCTGTCTGTGTCATGCAATGTGTGTCTGTGTCATTGTGTGTGTGTGTCTGTCATGTAATGTGTGTCTGTCTGTGTCACGGTCTGTCTGTGTCATGGTGTGTGTGTCTGTATGTCATGGTGTGTGTGTCTGTCTGTGTCATGTAATGTAAGTGTCTGTGTCACGGTGTGTGTCTGTCTGTGTCACGGTCTCTCTGTGTCATGGTGTGTGTGTCTGTATGTCATGGTGTGTGTGTCTGTCTGTGTCATGTAATGTAAGTGTCTGTGTCACGGTGTGTGTCTGTCTGTGTCACGGTCTCTCTGTGTCATGGTGTGTGTGTGTCTGTATGTCATGGTGTGTGTGTGTGTCTGTCTGTGTCATGTAATGTGTGTGTCTGTGTCACGGTGTGTGTGTGTGTCTGTGTCACGGTCTCTCTGTGTCGTGGTGTGTGTGTCTGTGTGTCATGGTGTGTGTGTCTGTCTGAGTCATTTAATGTGTCTGTGTCACGGTCTGTCTGTGTCACGGTGTGTGTTTCTGTCTGTGTCATGATGTGTGTGTCAGAACCATCTGTCTGTCTATTGTGGTGGATCCGTTTATTTCTGCCCATTCGTGTAAATGGCTGTTTCTATAGCCCAGCCATACGAATGACTCTTTTTTACCGAACAAATCTGCCGAACGGATGGCCACCCAGGATAGAAGTGTGCTGCTGGTTAACCTCTTGATCCCAATTAGAACGTTGTGGTTAACCGCAGACACTTCTCAATTAAACCGAATTCAGGGTGGCCGTCGTTCGTATGTCGACCACAAGGCAGCGGCCATTTTAAAACACATGAAAGACCAGCGGTGTTCGGCACTGATTTCATGGAACTAAAAACGGACACTTTTTCTGCCGAACACCACTGAAACAACAGGTCGCCTGGCTGCCCCGACGAAAGCATACGAACACCGGCCGTTCGGGAGTTTTACATCACACGAAAAGACTTTAACCAGATAGCTGTCCCATGGAGTCAATCACATACCAAAAGACTGTAAGGACTTTGACTCCATGGCGATTGAACAATGTGTGTGGGATCTGAGCGCTATTCGCTAATAATATGCCCTCAGATCCAGGCTATCTGGGGATGTGTGATACGAATGTGAAATGTTCGGTAGTTGTGAAGTTATATATTTTTATGTATTTCTGGTATTTTATTTAAGATGGCGATTTGTCTTTGTCCTGGAGAGAATTGAATTACTTCTCAATTATCTCCAGGGCAGAGGGGAGGAAACCATACTGCATTGTGGGAAAAGTTTACATCTGTATGTCTGAAATGTCCCATGTCTATCTGTCATTACAGTCTCCCATTTGGTCCCTTAGGGGAGTGTCCACCAAGTGGGAGACTTGCATAAATACGGGCGGGTAGCGGTCGGGAGATTACCACTTCCCCTGATGGCGGTTCGTATACTGCAGTCTATGCGAACGGAGTTACTGATATTACGAAAGGGGAAGGTTAACTAAACGGCGGTTTCTCTTAAAGACACCTGGGGTGTCTTAACAGAGTGTGTCTGTCATGGTATGTGTATGTGTGTTTTTACTCACCTTTTTTCCCCCCCACGTCGTGCTGGTCTCCCCTCGACTGGCCCTGCCTCTACGGCTGAGATCATCAAGTTTGATGATATCAGCCAATCCGCACTGACACAGGAAGCACTTCTAGTGACCGTCTAAGTGTCTGTCACTAGGAAGCAATGTAAACACTGCCTTTTCTCTAAAAAGTCAGTGTTTACATTGAAAAGCCTGCAGGGACAGGCTATAGACACCAGAGCCACTACATTAAGCTGTGTGTGTGTGTGCGCGCCTGCTAGTGAGTGGGCTTGCTTGTGTGTGTGTGTGCCTGCTACTGAGTGAGCTTCTGTTTTTATGTCAATGACCTTATGTATATCAGTGAGACTGTTTGTCTATGAGGCTGTGTATCAATCAGCTTGTGTCAGTGAGATTGTCTGTGTCTGTATGTGAGTATGCTTACTGTATAATTAAAAATGTTTACTCTGAAAGGACCAATATTTTATATTGAAAAAAGATATATATATATCAATCATCTAGGGTGGCAAGACATAGCCTTACATATTACATTCAACAATAAATGGCGCAATGACTTATGGGGCTGGCATGGATTTTTTTTCCAGGGCTGCTTTGGAATCCCCAGTCCGGCCCTGGTTTATAGAGCTTTGTTCTGCAGTGTCATTATAGTATCCTTCACTGTAATCAGTTGAAACTATTTCACATTTCTTGTCTGGTTTAAAACCACTTCTCTGGAAAATCCCCGCAATATCTCAGAAGTATGTTTCTTCCGGTCCCCCATGCATAATGCTTAACTTCCTGATCTCTAATTTGCATTCCCTTTCTCAAAAATATATATATTGGCCAGACCACTTTTTATTATAATGCTGTGCATAACTGTAATAAACCGCCAGAGAATATCAAACCTGCTACTAGTCTAAAGTCACTAAAAAAAACATCTGAGTCCATTTGTCTTAAACTAAAAATACAACACAACTGCACTTACTGGTAATTTACAATTGGATTATATATGTGTGACGGTACAATCTGTTACTCCGCCAAGCATCCCTTCTTCCCATAAAATAAAATCACCAAGTAATCCACAAAGTAATAAATCGCTGGTATCGCCGAATAATCCACACATGAGCCAAAGCTTAATGCTGGAACAAGACTTTACTGGAAGTAACAACAACAGGTATTCCAGCTACAGTTTCTTTTATGCCCTGCTCCCATGCAGGTGAGGGACACACACGTTATCTACAGTAGCCAATAAAACAGAGTTTACAGCCCACACAAAATCCTCCCCTCTGCGTGTGATTCAATTATCTTATGCAATAGAAGATGCAATTATCACAGGTAGGAAAAATACAGTTTTTACAGCATATTCCTAACTTCTAAAATATACATCACATTCACATAAAAATTATATATTTACAATCAATCCATTCAGGGAAACAACATATCAAAAAATGGCATGAATCAGACCAGGGGTTCAGAAGTATCTTTTGGGGCCTGGCTGGCAGCATGGCTATCTGTCCCAAACCGGTTTTACAGAGCCCTTGGAGATAATGGGGAACATAATCCAATTATATCCAGGGATAGAGGCAGACTCCATTGAGCACATGTTCCCAGTAAAACACAAAAGGATACAAAAATACATAACTCCTATCATACTGAATTGAACGGGCCAAATCTCCCAGGGTCCATAGTCACAGGGCAAGAGGCGGGCAAGCAGTCCTCTCCAGGCACAAGTGGCACTT